AATACTGTGACCACAAGAACAGGTTGGAGCATGGACGATCAACAAAAACTAGCCGTGTCTTTCTGACTCCTCAAAGCCTGTTTGCCTTCTACAAGATACAAATCAGGCCTTTGCTGGAATACTTGATCATTGCAGCTCCAACAATGAACAGAAACTCAACACCAACAAGGACAAAGTAGCCAACCTCATCCGGAACCCCAGCAACCATCTTAAATATTAATTCCTTACACTAGCAACACAGAGTGACAGACATGCTTATCTATAATATGCATTCACCAAAGTTCCTTTGCCAGTATCTTCCAAACCTCTGATCCCCACTGTCTCAAAGCATAAGAGCAACAGCTTCATTGAAACATCATTTCCTGCAGGTTCCACTCCATGCCACACATCATCCTGACTTAGAGATTTGTCAACGTCCTTTAATTGTTCCAGGGTCAAGATTCCAAATCACACTCTCAACCATTATGTCGTGGGTATACCTCAACAGTTCAAAACAGTTCAAAAAGTGTCTTATTACCACCTGCTCAAGGGCAACTAAGGATGGACAATAAATTCTAGCCTAACCAGCGATGCTAATATAATTAAGAACAAATATAATGTAAAACTTCAAAAGGACATAAATAAGTTGGTTGACTAGGTGGTAGGTAACAGATAAAGTTCAATGTGGGAAGAGAGGGTGTTTTATTTTGATGAGAAAAACGTAGAGAGCCAGTATAAAATGGAAGGACTCTAAAAGGGCTGCTGGAGCAGAGGGATCTGGGTGCATGTGCACACAAGTCATTGAAGGTGGCAGAACAGTTTAAAGCAGTTCATAATAAAGCCTAGCATACTCTATTCTTTTAGAAGGGTATAGAAAGCAAGAGCAAGACATTTATCTGGAGTTTATGCAAGGCACTAACAAGCCCGGAGAATGCTGGAGAAACTCAGCAAGTCTGGCAGCATCTATCAAGAGAGAAACAGAGTTAATATTTCAAGTCTGGTATGAATCTTCTTCAGAACCTTCAGGAAGAATGTGAACACATTGGAGAGAGTGCAAAAGTGATTTACAAGAATGGTTACAGGCATGAGGAACTTCAGGTATGAGGATAGGGCAAAGAAATTGGGACTGTTCTCCTTGGAGAGAAGAAGGCTGAGAAGAGACCTGATAGAGATTTTCAAAATCATGAGTGAGCTGGATAGGGTGGGTAGAGATAAATTGTTCCCACTGGTAAAAGAAACTAGAACTGGACGGCATAGATTTAAAGTGATTGCAAAGGAGCAAATGTGATGTGCAAAATAAACTTCTTCACTTTTATGAAATGCACTGCCTTAAAGTGAGGTGGGGATTGGATGATTATTTGAATAGAAACAGTGTGCAAGGGCATGGGGTGAAAAGCAGGAGACTGATCAAATGATCTTCATTTGAAGAGCTGGTGCAGGAACCGTTTTAATTCTGTGACCTCCAGGTCTGGGGTATTTCTTGAACCTGGACCTTCTGCCCCAGAGGTAGGGGTACTACCAGTGCACCACAAGAACTCCACATGCCCCCTCCCACCAAGATTGTCAGCAACTTGTGCAGGGACACTCAAATGTAATTACCTAAATCACTTGGCCACAACTACAGGCCAGATTTCTGATAATATACGTGTCAGAATCTGATTTTGATGGAGATGCAACTGAAAAGGATATTGCACATAGGACAAAAAGAAAACCAGCCTCTGGAAATTGGTGACTTGGAGTAATATTTCACAGTTTTAAGCTGGCTGAGCTCTTGCTTTAGTGAAATGGTAAAACTGGACTGTCAATCCCCTCCACATTTAAGTTGACACGGCTGCTTAAATGATGCAAGTGCCAGACCAATCTATGCACATAACTCAGATCCTGGAAAGTAGGACAGGATCGGTGGGATGACTATTCCAATGGGTCAAATTCCCATTGACTGGGCTGAAAATTATTTTCCAGGGCTGTTAAACTGCTTTGAAAATTTTATAGCAAAAATATTGATTACATAGTATTAGTCATTGAATTTTAAAGTGCTTCATTGTCAATAACGTATTCCTGAAAGATACAATGAATCATCATATAAACATCGAAAGGAGGAAGCCTTTATAACTGAGAAGCTGCCATTTGTTTCCTATCTGGACACAAGAGGGGACAGAAACTCTCGCTGTCACCAAAACTATCAGTTTAATTATAAATGTTTCTGAGAATAGTTTTTATCTAAGTTCCGTATGTTACAGCATTCCGCAAGAATTTGATAGTATACTTTTTAAAATGTCAGTTTGCTTGATCCAAGGTCTTTTTGTTTATCTCTTAACATATTTCTCTGGTTAAGCAACTTTCAACTTTATTACAGGGTAAATAAATCTATAATTTAGTTAATCATTGTTGGTAACTGGTAGCTCCTGACCCGACTGAATTTGCATTCAATGGTAACATTACCAGTTCATTGTTAACAGCTCAATAGCGCCATCTCGTGTGAGCAGAAGGAGAAATGCAGCTTCTCAGTTGTAAAAGTGAGATCAGAAATCATAGACTCCTTACAGTGTGGAAACAGGCCCTTCGGCCCAATAAGTCCACGCCGACCCTCAGAGCACCCCACCCAGACCCATCCCCCCATAACCCACTTAATCTACACATCCCTGAACACTACGGGCAATTTAGCATGACCAATCCAACTAGCATGAGAATCTTTGGACTGTGGGAGAAAACTGGGGAACCCAAAGGAAACCCACGCAGACACAGGGAGAATGTGCAAACTCCACACAGACAGTCTCTATTCATTTTATCTTTCAGAAATGACTCAAGGCATTCATTATGCGTTTCAACTATTCTGCATACAGCATTCAGGTTTCCACCAACAGTGATAAATAGTTCATCCATTTCTGAATAAGTTGAATGAGGGAAAGATCAACAATATCACCAGGAGACTTTCCTGTTCTGGTTTAAATAGAATCATGAACACCCATCTGAAGCACCAAATCAGACAGACTGAACCTCAGCTAAACATTTCAACTGAAATGTATCTGAACTATATTGGAATGTCATCTGAAATTGTACACCGAACTCCAATATATGTTGCACACCAGGCGTAAGAATGACCAAGTTAGCAGCAAGAGTGTCTTTATCCAATCCGTATGGGCCTTCTGGATTCCACTATATTCTTTGGGCCCACTCCCTGGACAGCCACCTTAAGCAAGTGAAAGGCACACGTCATATGCTGGTGGAAATTTCAAGACTGTTTAAGCTATGAAAATTATCTCCAGTTGCATGGGGAAGACTTTTGCTGCTAGGCAGCCACAATCACAAATAGAGTATAAGACAACCCCACTTCGATAATGTCAAAAATCATGTACTTGGCTCATAATTTGATCCTTCTTTTTAGCAACAAAATGCTATACTTTGGATGGATGTGGGTGAAGTGAGGTTTTAGATTGATAATGTGTGGAGTAGGTGCCCTGGTAGTCTACATAAAAAATGCATTTATGAGTGAGGGATACATTTAGGTCCCATATCAACTGTGAGATGAAGAGGCATCTTCAAAGCAATAACACTCACATTTTGCAGTTATACTGGTGGAGTCAAATGTTCATGGTTCAACTTTTGAATATGGCCTCAAAAAATCTTTGAAGGATCATGTTCACACTAAATAGGATAATTGGATGGTCAATAGAGAAGATCTTCAAAAATGTCAAAATATGCATTCTGTTTTGCTTGATATTTTTAATTATCAAATCGTGTGATGCCAATAGTGCACAGAGTGTCATCAGATTGTACAAAAAATGTGTATTATCCAGTTCATGGATAGAGAGGAAGCTGATTTATTGTGCAGGGAAGATTCTGAAAGTGAAGAACCACATCTGATCCAAAATGGGATCCTTATGTTGATACTACAGTCAAAATGATTCAGAATGAATATCATGTACACTTTGTGTCAGATAAGACAATTAATTTGGCAGTTTTAAAACACGTTGTGATTAAATGTTTCTTTATATTTAATTCATTGAATAAATCATGAAACATTATCTTTTAATTACCAGTGTTATGGCTTTTTCTCAAAATAGTGACCATCTACACCCACATTGCCACCTCACATTGTATTCTGAGAGTACAAACTGAAGCTGCTTTTGATAGGATTTATGGAGGTTTCAAAGGTTAACTTATGTGCCATGTTATATGTTAAGTTTTAATTGAAAATCTAAATTTTAAAAATGCTGTTGTGAAGCCACAGTGAGCAAAAGTGATACCCTGTTTCCATAATGTTCTGTTCATCCTGTAGTGTTGCCACTCTACCCTCCTTCCGGACCCTCCCAGATTTACCTTTAGGCTGTGAAACAAGTGGCCCAAAAGTCATTTGCTTCGAATGGGTGGACTGCATGTGAATGAACTATTAATATTACCGAGCTTTTATTTTTGGTTGACCATCGTGGCCACATTACCAACAAATGTCAAATCGTTGACTTCAGCCTTCAGTATTCTGATTCAGAAGTAAAAATTGCTTCTAGTGATAGAAACAGTTATTAAATGGACGAAATGTAGGTTTGGTCAATAATACAACCTTCGTAATATTTGCAGCTCTCAACTCTTCTGCATGTTTAACACTATTGACTATTTTAAAATATTAAAATGAGAAGTAACATTCAGTACCACTGTTTGGAACCCTGATCACCCTTATGCTGTGAGTAACCCTTATTATTCAAATGTATACCTTCAGAAGAATACAATATTTGAAAAGAATTTTGATTTCATGTAACTTTTAGAACTTAAGTTGATAATGCCTCATCATCAAGTCAAAAGAGTAATGGCTTAATTTGTCATTTGTGAATAGATTTTTGTCAATTAATCTACTTCAATGGAATAACATTTCTTATGAAACAGAAGGATATTATGCAAGCATGACATAAAATAAACTGGTATGAAGTGAGCAGTTAATTTTAATAATTGACGTGATGCTGCAATATTACTGTGTGCCAGTTTTGACACTGATGGATGTTCAATCTCTTATTGTTTTGTTATTATAGGGTGGATTGGAGACAAGCAACTGCACACTTTTAATCTGACTTCTCTGACAAAATCTGAAGACATTTTGTCTGCTACCTTGCATTATTATATAGCTGATCTTGTAAACAATAGCAATAATTGCCCGTACTCCAAGGGCTGCAGTCATCGATTACACAGAAAACGAATCAACTTTGATCTTTCAGTTTGGGCTTTTACCACTGCTAACAATATCCCCAGAATTCTGAGTCATAATGTGCTAAATGCGTCCACTTTTTATCGAGACTCTCTGTCTTGGCAGTGGAAAGACATCACACGAGTGATTAACAGTCTGAAGTCAAATGATGACCTTTTGATTGGAATTGAGATCATGCCTTCTGTTCCAACCTTCTGGAAACAGTTACTTTCAAAGCATTCGCCTTATATCTTGGTGTATGCAAATGACTCTGCAATTTCAGAACTGGATACTGCGGTGAGCACTCTTCAAAGACGCCAGGGATCATTTGTCACCAAAGTGCAGGGTTTTAGAACCAATACTGCAAACAGGACATCTGAAGTAAGAAGGAAACGGTCAACTAACTTACTCATGCCCCTGCACAACAACGAATTACCTGGTGCAGAATACCAGTACAATGAAGCTACTGCATGGGAGACAAGAAGGCCATATAAAAAGCTACATCCTCGGCCAGCAGACAGGGAGAGGAAGTCAAAGCAGAGGAAGGGTAACAGACAGAAATCACAGACTCTTCAGTATGATGAACAAACATTAAGAAAGGCAAGACGGAGACAGTGGAATGAACCCAGAAACTGTGCTCGCCGTTACCTGAAAGTGGATTTTGCAGACATTGGATGGAGTGAGTGGATAATCTCTCCCAAGTCTTTTGATGCCTATTATTGTGCAGGTGCCTGCCAGTTCCCAATGCTCAAGGTAGGTGCTTTTTTTAAAAATATTTTCACTCACATCATTTGAATCTGGTAGAGAGCCTATTCCCCAGCAATTTCTTTATATACTCATGGGGCTTGGGATTCACTGCCTGGGCCAATATTTATTGCCCATCCCTATTTGCCCTCAGGAAGGTGGTTGTGAACTTCCTTCTTGAACCATTGCAGTTCATGTGCTGTAGTTTGACACAAATGTCCTGAGGGAGGGAATTTCAGGATTTTGATGAAGTGACGTTGAATGGACAGTGATACATTTCCAAATCAGGATGGTGAGCGGCTTGGAGGGGAACTCACAGGTGATGGTTTTCCCATGTATCTGCTGTCCTTGTCCTTCTGGATGGAAGTGGTCATAGGTTTGGAAGGTGCCGTCTAATGATCTTTGGTGAATTTCTACAATGCATCTTGTAGATTACTCACTGCTGCTACTGAGCATTGACAGTGGAGGGAGTGGATGCTTGTGGGTATAGTGCCAATCAAATGGGCTGTTTTGTCTTGGATGGTGTCAAGCTTCTTGAGTGTTGTTAGAGCTGCACCCATCCAGGCAAGTGGGAAGTATTCCAACACACTCCTGGCTTGTGCCTTGTAAATGGTGGACAGGCATTGAGGAGTCAGGAGGTCAGTTACTTGCTGCTCTATTCCTACCCTCTGTCCTGCTCTTGCATCCGTATGACATGTCCAATGAGCTTCTAGTCAATGGTAAACCCCAAGATGTTAATAGTGGGTGATTTAATGATGGTGACACATTGAATGTTGAAGGGCGGTGGTTAAATAGTCTCTTAATGGAGATGGGCATTTTCTGGCATTAGTATAGCGTGAATTTACTTGCAATTTGTCAGCCCAAGCTTGGATATTATCCAGATGTTGTTGCATTTGAACATGGCATGTGTTAAGAGCATTTGCCAATGGCATTTTGTAATCATCTGATGAGCTACACAGATTTGCCCTTAATAGATGTCTGTGGATGAAGATGACCAGTCGCTCCTTCAGAGGTGTAATGAAATGTTTGATCTATTTTCATCAAATTCACGATCCTGCTATTTTAATGCAGGCATTGGCCTGCTACTTTACATCAGGTGACAGGAAAAGTGACAGAATAAAATTTAGTTAGCATTTGAGAGACAATATTGCCAGCATTAAGCTGCATATTTTCATCAAATTGTTTGTAGATGTTGAAAAATTGTGTTAAATGTTCTATAGTACAAATTAAAAATTTAAGGGGTTTTCTTTATTTCATTTATCTTGTAAAACCTGTGAACTTCTAGCACAAGGAGTTTGTCTTGACAAATCTGAATCCTGAATCTGTAAAAGGATTTTGTTAATAAGAATATGGAGTGCGACATTCAACTCATTGAATCTGTTCAACTATTCAATTAGATCATGAATAATCTGTATCTGACATCCATTTACCTTCCAAAATGATAGAGATTTAAGAGCCAGAACACAATGTGTATTTTAATCACAAGATGTCACCCATAAGAAAAATGGAAGCCTAAAACATTTAAAATGTGTCTCTGTAATTTTTTTTCCTTTTTCTTTTAGTCATTAAGGCCTTCAAACCATGCTACGATTCAAAGTATAGTGAGAGCAGTGGGCGTAGTTCCAGGGATTCCCGAACCATGCTGCGTACCTGAGAAAATGTCATCATTAAGCATCCTCTTTGTCGATGAAAACAAGAATATTGTGCTGAAGGTCTACCCAAACATGAAAGTGGAGTCATGTGCTTGCAGATAACCCCACAGGGCATGCTCATTGGTTCTGGGTTTGCACTGCTGATATTTTGTTTTCTGTTCTTTTTCATTCTGAACATCAAAAGGAAGTCTTCCAACAAATGAAAACTGAATGGTGCCTTCAGATGAAAGGAAATAAAAGATAATTTATCGTTTTATTTACAAACCCATTCACCTGCATTAAAAGTGCAACTTTCTGAACCAACAACAAATTAAGGCAGAAGACCATTTGTGTCTGGAATTCAGAATTCTGAGATAAAACTGTGTTTATTGTAAATTTCTTTTTAAGTACTTAAAGACTCCTTCATACAACTTACCATTGCACTTCTAAAGATATTGTGTTTCCTGGCAGTTTATGATGTATGTCCCCCTTCCTTCAATTCCAACTCTTCCACCCAGCTAATTACAGAGTGTCATGGGCAATTTATTTTATTCTTTGAATTTTATTGCAGTACTCTTTTAAATAATTTAGTAATTCAAAATGTAAATCAGCTATATAAATCAATGCAAATGTTTTAGTTGAGAAATAAAAAAAATTGTTAAATACTACAACAGTAAGCCACATATTCAGAGCACAATTTTTAATTTAATATTAGTGAGTGCATTTTAATGCAAAATATTTGTGAAGCTGTTGCATGATTTCAAAAAGTTCACTTCAAGCAGACAGAGTTACAGAATGTTTGCTAAATTGCTAAGTACAAATCCGATATAGCTAAAACAAATCAGGGAGCTCCAGTAATTATCAGAATTGCAATGATTCAGAAATATCCATTCCAGGCCCAAATGGCCAAATGAAACAACTCTGTCAAAACTGCTGGAAGCAGAGTTTTATTAGCTCTAGGAATCAAATTAGGGTAGCCAAAATTGTCGTCAATTAGTAACAGACAAATAGAGATGCTACACTTCTCCTGCCTTCTGAATTGCCTTACTCAATGCCAAATCAATTAACAATCAGAGATATGTAAGAATATCACATCTGCAATAATTCTCCTCTCACTAAATGCTGCCAATAGGCTGTCCTATTCATTACAGGATACTTTCGAGCAAAGTATTAAATTTAATCGGGTCCAAAATTAGCCAATTAGTTGTTCCTCAAATCAAATCTGCATATTTAGTTCAATTCGTTCTATTTTTCAACATAACCTAGAGTTTTAATTTTGTTTTAACTATTAGTTGATACAATCTTCTACAATTTACACCTTATTCAGACTAAACAGATTGGAGTAGGCTCCAATTAGAGATTAGAAAGGCAAACTCTGTCCTTCATTAATTATGCTTAATATATGCTGCTTTGTTTGAATAATATACTTTTCAATGGAAAGGAAGTCATTTGTGAAATGTCATACCTATATATATGTTCTTAAAGAATAGAAAACATCTATTTAATCATTAAAATGAGATTGAAAATGCTTAAAAAATTATATGTGGGTTAAATTTAGCCTCTGGTATAGTTTATAAATATTTGTCATCACATATGATGCAAGTCAACACTATCTAGATCACCAGAACGTCCATTTTCCATATGTAAAAAATACATTAATATTCCTAAAATGGGCAGCGTCTACATTTTTGCTGCAAACATTACCATCAATGATAATATATAGCTTATATCACCTTGTATTTTATTTTCGCTGAACTTGAGTTCCACCTTTACGTTAAACCAAAGTCTTATGCCATTTGTCTCTTCCATGTAAAGATAAAATGTATTGATAATCAACCTAAGTGTGCGAATGATTAGGATTCAAATTAAAATTATTGTATTCCACTTGTCACTCCAAATATTTGATGGAGAAAGAAGAAGTTATCCAGACTTTATTTGGAACTAAACTTCCTTCAGGCTGAAACAGTTCAAATACCATGCATGACATTGGTCTCCACAGACTTGGGAGGTCTGGCTAAATCCTCTTGTATGGATCTGAAATCAAGTGGAATTAAAGTTATGAACATTGATGGTTGAGGATAGTGCCTAACAATATTGATATTTTAATGAGTGTTCATATAGTTGAGTAAAAGTATTCTCTTTCTTTTTATTTTTCAACATTATTTTTATGCTAACCATACGTACTGCCTGTTGGTAGTTTATCCTTATGTCGTGCCCAAAGACAAGTTCTAGATCCAGTGGCAACCGCTTTCACCACTTTATAACAGTAAAGAAAATCTTTATTTCTTTGTATGTATATGCAATAATCAAACATTTTGTTAGAGGAAATTATTTTATATTCATTTCAGAAGAAGTAATCATCCATGTAATTTTTCAGTCATTTTTAAAAATTCAAATATATTTTCGCTATTTAAGTAGGTACGTTGATTAATTTTAAAGCTTGTTTTGTATATAATTCTATCATAGATTTGTTACAAAAGTGGATGTTTATTAAACTGCCAAAATCAATTGCCAATTGAAACACAGGCTAATTGAATGAATATTTCCCATTTTCTCTCCATCAGAGTTGAATAGTTTATACTCCATTAAACTAGTGTAAGTAAAATTGCATGCTTTTCTGTGATAAATTTTAAAAATATATATGTTATAATACACCAACATCTGTGAAGCAACTTGCCTGTGTTTCATTCTGTTTTCAAAAGCAAATTTGCCGCTCAATTCAAATATTATAATTTGATTAATTATAATTTGATTATCAAAACATTATACAATTAATAATATTTCCAACATAAACTTTGTCCATAAGAATGATATTTAAGGATGGATGAAATTAAATGGCTTTGTATTGTTTTAAGTGCATTTGTATGTCTATGAACATATATGACAATATATTTTCAAATTGTGTGTGTTTTGGTTAGTGTGTTACTTTGATTTGACTGCAGCAGATTTTTCAAAAATCAAAATTTCACTCATTTGTAAAGAGCTATCTGTAAACATTTAGTTGAGATAAAATATTGTACAATATGTTTTAAAATAGTACATATTTGTATATGGTAAGAAACCCTGTTGAAATGCTTTTCTAATTTATTTTATGTTTGGCTGCAGTTTTCTCCCCTTTTCTTTGCGCAGTTTCACCATTTGGTTGCAGGAATGTTTATTAAAAACAGTAATAGTATGAGCTTTAGTTTCCTGAACACTACAAAGCATCTGAAATGAAACTGTGAAGGGCACTTGTCACTACTGATGTCTTAGCTTTCTTGTTCAATAGTGTTTTACTGCATTAATGGAAACCTTCCTCACAATCTTTGGAAATGAATAAATTTAGTTATGTAACTAACAAAATCACCATTATTTCCTTGTTATTTTTTGTCAGAACTAAATCCTGACCATTTGAGATATGGTTTATAAATCTTACTTATTTTCTTTCTTTTTGTGGTTATTTCTGTTAAAGCTGTATTCTCTACAGCCAATTGTTATTGCTTATTCAGTTTATTTTATTTCTCTAAGTGTTCTGAAAGGAAATTTCCTATTTACAATTTTATCTCCTTCTGGAGGCACTGACTCACTCAGATAAAACACAATGTGCACATGATTGTGAGTGCCAGCAGAGTGGTATTACAGTCAAAATTGACAGATCATGGAACATCAAGAGCAAAAACCCTAGGTGAGTCACTGTTTTGTAACTCCACTGCCCCATCACTGACCTGGCTAAGATCAGCAAGTAACTGTAGATGACAGATTAGATTTGGATGTTCCTGAGATGTATGACTTAATTTCATATTAGGTAGTGCACGTATCTAACGATAGGTTCAGGTTCAAGTCTTTTAAATTCTAACATTATTATGCACTAATCAAAATCCGATTTGGAATGTCATTTGGCTATGAAGTAGTTGAAAAGCCAGGTTGGTCCTAATGATAGAGTAGGATATATTTAATATTATTATTAAAATGTATTGATTGGGTCAAGACTAGTGACTTATATTGAATGAAAATGATCGCGGGGATGTTAGTTGAATGAAATCAATGTGATTAAGAATATCACATGATGTTAGGTGTTCTACATTGACAGTCAATCATGTGAGGCTGCTCTTGTCTAAAGATAGAAGGGAAAATATTTGCCACTTACAATTATTTTTGATACATTCATGTCAAAGTAAAGCTTCCACTAGAAACGTAATCAAATCGTGGGATCACCTCAAGTCCAATAAATCATAATTCTGCGTTGTTGCTCAGTAAGGATGCACTTGGAACATTTGAATGCTCACTGCTTTCAAAAGAATACTTTGGACAGCAGACAGACATGAGGGATAAAGAATATTCACAGCTTAAACTTGTTACTATAGAAGAAAAGGTAGTTGAAATAAAAGGTATTGAATAGTTTTGCAAAAGAGCACTGCATAAAGCAATGCAGATGAAACCTTTTTCAGAGTCAGTATTAGACAACCCTAAACGTTTTGTCATCTCCAGCGCTTTCTATGCTGCCACAAAGTCATAACAATCCATCTGCAGTTTGTACATATCTCAGCTAACACTTCTGTCACTTTCACCAGGTACTTCAAGAAACAGCAGGATAAGCTCTGAAGGTTTTGCAGGTTGCAGGATTCACCAAAGTTCAAAATGTCATTGATTGCATACACAGAATCAGAGAGCCATACAGCATGGAAACAGAACCTTTGGAACAACTTGTCCACGCCACCTGGTTTCCCAAACTAAACTAGTCCCATTTGCCTGTATTTGACCCATATCCCTCTAAGTATTGCCTATTCATGTACCTGCCCAAATGTCTTTTAAATGTTGTAACTGTACCTGCATCTACCACTTCCTCTGCCAGTTCATTCCACGTACGAAACACCCTCTGTGTGAAAAAAATGCCCCTTAGGTCCCTTTTAAATCTTTCTCCTTTTACCTTAAAATTATGCCCTCTAGTTTTAAACTCCTCTACCCTAGAGAAATGACCTTTGCTATTCACCTCATCTGTGCCCTTCTTCATTTTATAAAGCTCATCATGCCTGTTCCTGTTCATAAAGCTGTAGCTGTAATGAATTATAAAAGATTCAATGATATGATTGTGCAACTGATCTATGAAGATCTGTACACAATTGTGCAGTTCACTGACTCCTTAAACAACTCAAGCCTTCATGCATAAAATCTTGTAGCACATACTATTGAAGCAGAGAGTAGATCTCACGGCTTACATAACTGCAATTAATGGTGATTTGATTCACTAGAATATGATGATATTGGAGTTGGGGTGTAGCTGCAGGATGTGATTAGAAGGAGAAGAAACTCAGTACAATTGGTTGAAATAAAGAGCATCATGACAACAGATCAGAAAGCTAAATTATTTAATGGACGTGTTTAACTTTTAATTACAGCATATGTCCTTTTTGAAAAGAGGATATGGCCAAAAGATGACTGTGAATGTAAGTTCGATGGTTTTTTGGAGTGGGACCCTGGAATGGCATACCTGAATTGCAAACAGTGAGCCATCAAAGGGAGAAAAATAAGTCAAAATAAATTGAACAACATCTCCCGTATCAACAGTGATGATGAGGGACTGACTAAATAACCCCACCATCAGCAGAAAGCCATTTCCTGAATTTATGTCCCAGACTGCAGACACAGTTAGTGTTTTCTCCATTCAAGATTACACAAAAACAATGGTTAAAAGTCAATTTCAATCCTGGTCAGTGTGTACTAGTGGATGAAATTATATACTGGGAGGGTCACACTGAGAAAACCTCTAGTCTTCCTGTGCTGCAGGTTAAAAAGCAAGTAAATCTTTTGTTGCTGTAAGCATGAGCAAATGAAACTTCAGTCGAAAGGAAACAGGACAAAGAACTTGCAGCTGTTGTTCAAAACCAAGCATCTTGAAATCAACTGCTCACCGACAAACATCAGTGCCACCAGTTTCAACCAATGTAACAGATGCAGCATCTTATCATCTTTTCTATACAGAACTCAGAGACTGAATTTTCAAGAAATCTTTTAGCTATGCAACTCTCCAACTCATGGTCACTCCAAATAACCACACCTCACTCCCACTCACTCAACTTCTCCAATTCAATCTGATTCACTCCAAATTGCTCTTCCTCTCTCACACTCATTCTAACTCACTCTAAATCATTCTTCTTTCTATCTCACCAAACTCTCTCTACGATACTCCAACACACTCTACATCTTTCCAGTTTCACTCTGAAACACTCCAAATTTCTCTACCTCACTCCTACTCACTTTAATTCTCTCTTCTTCATTCTAACTCACCCTAATACACTCCAACTTACTCCAACTTGGTCTACCTCATTTCAATTCACTCTATGTCACTGCAAACTCATTCTACTTCATTCCTGCTCACTCTGTCTCACTACAGGTCACTCTGCTTCACTCCCATTTACTCCAACTCAATCCAATTCTCTCTTCAGTTCACCTCGCTCCAACTTCCTGTACATTACCCCAGCTTCCTCTACATCGCTCCAATTCACTCTGAAACACTCCAATCACTTTACCTCACTACTTCTCACTGGAACTTTCTGTTGTTCACTCCAACTTACTCTATTCACCCAACTCACTCCAAATCACTCTACCTCACTCCAACTCAATCCATTCCACTTCAATTCACTTCTTCACACCACCTCACTTTAAAACACTCTACTACCCTCCACTCAGTCTACTTCACTCAAACTCAATCTGAGTGGATTGGACTTGTGAGGATAGTTGGCTTTGTGTGGGGAAGTCTTGTTTCACAAATTTGATTGAGGTTTTTTGAGGAAGTGTCAAAGATGACTAATGAGGGTAGGGGAGTGAATGTTGTCTACATGAATTTCATTAAAGCATTTGACAAGGTCCCTCATGGTAGGCTGACAAGATTCAGTCACATGAAATCCACAGTGAGTTGGTAAGCTGATCTGGCTTGATCATAGAAGACAGAGAATAGTTGTGGAGTGGTATTTTTCTGACTGGAGGTCTGTGACCAGTGGTGTTCCATAGGGATCAATGCTGAGACCTCTGTTGTTTGTAATAAATATAATTGATTTGAATGAAAATGTAGATGGTCTGATTCGTATAGACAGCACAAACATTGGAGAAGTTGTGGATAGTGAGAAATGTCTCAAAGGATCCATTAGAACCTTGAGCAGAGAAATGGCAGATAGAATTTAATGAGGTGATGTATTTTGGGAGGTCAAAAGCAAGAGGAAAGTTTACAGTAAATGGCAGGATCCTTAGGTGCATTGATATACAGTGGGATCAATGGATGTAAGTCCAAAACTCCCAGAAAGTGCCAACACAAGTGGATAAGGTTGTAAGGAAGTCATGCAGCATGTTTGCTTTCATTGGTCGGGGCATTTAGTATAAAAGTTTGTAAGTCATGTTGCAGCTGTGTGAAACTTTAGTTAGACCACATTTGAAATACTGTCACACTACAGGAAGGATATGGAGGCTTTGGAGAGGATGCAAAAGAGGTTTATCAAAATATTGCCTGGATTGGAGTGTATTAGCTACAAAGAAAGGTTGGACAAACTTAGATTGTTTTAAAGTTGGGTGTCAGAAGCTGAGGGATGAACTGATTGAAATAAAAATATTATGAGATGCATGAATAAGGTGGATGGTTGGATTCTTTTCTTCAGGTTTAAGGTGAGAAGGGAAAAGTTTAAGGAAGCTGTGTGGTGCAAGTTTTTTTTTACACAGAAGGTGGTAGGTGCTTGGAACGTGCAGCCAGGAAGGTGGCAGAAGCAGATACATTATCAACGTTTAACAGACATTTAGTTAGAGACATGAACAGACAAGGAATAGAGGAACATGGACTATGTGTAGTCAGATGCATTAGTTTAGAATGGCATCATGATCAAGACATGATGGGTTGAAGGACCTGTTCCTGTGCTGTTTCGTTCCATCTGTTACCTTCTATGTTACCTATGAATTGTTAAATCAGATATTCATAACTATATGCATCATATTAATTTATTTAGTTAAAAAGAAGCAGAATCACAGAATGGTTACAGCACAGGAGGAAGCCATTCTGCATATTGTGTGTTGGCTCTCCAAAGGAGCAACTCACTCAGTGTCACCCTCTGCCTTCTGACTGTAACCCTGCCCATTCTTCCTTTTCAGGTATTAGTCTAATTCCTTCTTGGAAGTCATGATTGAACCTAGTTCCACTGCACTCTCAGACAATGCATTCAAATGATTAGAACAAGAGTGGTTAGATGTTTGTTTTTGACCAGTGTAGACTCAACGGGCTGAAAGGCCTTTTTCCTATGCTGTTGTTGTCTGGTTCCACTTTAAACAAGTTGCAGACAACTCCGACCAGAATGTTATGAATCAATTTGCTCAGGTGCCCCACAATAC